CACTCCTCGATCCGATCGGAGCCAGGCGGCGTAGCGCGGTGAAGAAGCTCGGCCGGCAGTCGCGACAGTGAACGATCTGGAAGGATCCTCGGGACGCTCTCGATCCCCGTGCGATCCCGGAGGAAGCGTCTCGTTCTGCGTGTTTCCCGCGCGTGTGCCGCGAGGACATCGTCGTGCGTGCCAGAGGAGGATCCTCGTGCGGCCCAGCGAGACCCGCGCCGAGTGTCGCCGGAGTGGCACGGTTCCGTGGGATCGACGGTCGCCGGTGCTCGATGGAGAGGTACCCGCGGGCCCTGTGAATATTCCCCGGTGGTTGTGACCGTGGTGCTCGACAGATAGGGAACGGGATCGCGGGGTAGTGCCAGTTCGATGGGAAATGTGTCGGCGGAAGAGGTGTCGAAGATCGTCGGCCGGACGGAGGAGCTAGCAGCGTGACTGTCGCCGATCGAACGTCTCCGAGGAGAGGACGTCGGGAACGCGTTTCGCGAGACCCGTCCGCCGATCAGCTGACTGCGCGAAGCGGTCGCGAGGACTGTCGAGGAGCGGCCGCAGGAGAGCCGTGTGCGCGTCGTCCTGTTGATCCGGAGCAGCGTCGAAGTGACGGGACACGGAGCGGAGGTTCAGGGGCGTGTATCCGTCGAGCGTGTAAATAGGTGTACATAAGGGCCGCGACGGTCCCGGACCGGCCGCGAGATCCTCTCTCCGCTTCACATCATCTTTTCCACGTCTTCGCGACTCCCCGTCCCATCTCGCCTCTCCTGCACCATCGTAACCGAGAGTAGTGTCAACGAGGGAGGCCGCGCGATCCGATACGGGACGAGGCTGGAGACCGAGGCCCCGCGCGAGTGACAACCGAGATCCCCGCGAGACCGGGGCCGTGTATAAAAACCGTGTACAAAGATCCAAGTTTTAGTCGAGTTCGGGAGCTTTCTGTTTTTCCTTCACGCCGCGAGTGTCTTCCTCGTGCGTCGCGCTGAGAACACGAGTTCCTCTCGTGCGTCGTTCCCGTTCGATCGAACGCGAAACGCGGGAAGGGTGGACGGATAGATCGAGGAACGAGAGACGGGGAATGGAGTAGCAGACGGTGAAGGTGGGGGATAGCGAAAGAGAGGAAAAGAAAGAGCGTCGTCGGCGTACCGAGAGAATACTATTCGCAGGAAGCAAGTCGGAGCAGTACGGGTATATCCAGCGCTTAGCCTTTTTAGCAGCGGCGCGCGGTAATTAAGTAGCTCCGCGGCCGAGTACGTTCCGAGCGTGTTCGCGACGTCGTGCCGCGTGTAGAAAATATATACACATACACACTCACAGACAGAGACACGGTACATAGACACACACGCATTGTACGCGATCATACGCGACGCACACCGAGAACACGTATACACAAACGTATTAACGTAAAACAGGGGTTGGAGGAGGGGAGGAAGTCGGTCGACGGAGGAGAGAAGGGGATGCGTGACGCGTTCCCGTCGCGAGGACTCGCCGTGACGAGAGGTTAATCAGGCCGTTCGCGTTGCCAACGATCGTGTCCCGCGAGATTCGACGAGCGAGGATCCCACGTAACCGATCCTCCCCCGAGATCGCCGGGGTACGGCTAGGTGTCCGAGTCGGCGGGTTTAATCTAAGGGTAAGGTGAAAAAAGTGGGACCAATTTTTCACGCTAGTTCGCGCAATCTCTTCCATCTTTAGCCGCTTCCCCAGCCCTCCCTCTCCGGCCAGCCATCGCTTTTATCTTCTTAATCCAGCCGCCCGGCACCGGACTATCCATAAATCTCCCACCGGCTCGCGCTCTTTCCGTATTAACTTCGTCGTACCGAGTCGCAGCCGGGGGTGTAACGCGAGTCGCGTCCGATAAATCAACGCTCGCGCGACCGGACCGCGGCCGTGCAATCGTATACGTCCGGATCCCGAGAGTCGAAACCGAGATCCTTTCGGATCCAACGTCGTCCTAACCGGGTGACTCGAGCGACCGGACCGTAACTGACAGTGAATCGACAGTGGGATAGAAGAATCCTCTACCTCCCCGTGTCCATCGCCGTGTTCCAAGCACTGTGACCAACGGGCGAGCAGCGGGGATCCGGAAGGTAATAGTCGGTTCCCACGAGGATGCGATCATCCTGAAACGGGCATGACGCCCCTGGCCTCGAGATGCGACGAGACCACCACCATCCTGCTGTTGCTGCTGCTCGAGCTGGCGCCCGGTGCACGGTGTTACACGCGCGCTGCTGCCGCCGCGGCCGCCTCGACTTCGTCGAGATAGCATCAACAGTGGACGGCGAGGGTGCGAGTGATGCCGCTCCTCGGCAGCATTATGACCATCGACGACGCCGGTAGTCAGACGACAGCGGCGTCCAGCACCGTCTACGAGGAGAACATGACGTGGCACCGTATCGCCGACGGCTCGACGTCTTCCTTGAACGAGGCACACACCGGCGACGACCACCGGGAGGTACACCACCACCACCACCAGCACTATCAGCTACGTCGGCTGTTGCGTCTAGCCGCCGCGGGCATCGGCGAACGCGGTACCGACGCCGATCAAGGACCAATCGAACCAACGGACGCGTCCGAGGTGAACAACACCGGGGACGCCGGCACCGTGCACTTGGAGCCCGGAGCTAACATCGGCTGTGACTGCGCCAGGCTAGCTCGGTTAGGGGACAGGGACCTGGACGCTTCCAGCCTGCCGCCGTTTCTAACTGCCAACGACACCGACCAGGTGGACGTCACCGGCGGCGGCGAGGGGAGCACCGTCAGCCTGGACTCCACCACCGGATACGGTGTCAGCACCACCGACGGGGAGGACGCGCAAGGACTACGCGAGCTGGAACTGCTGTTCGGCCTGGGCGGCATCATGGAGGACCTCGGAGCGCCGTACAACGACTCGTTCAATCAGAGCGCGCCGTTCCCGTGGAACAGCAGCGACCATTACAATGACACCTACATCGTCTTCGGCGAGAGCATGTACCCGTCGGGGTACACCCTGCCGCACATCGTCCTGGCGTCCGTCGTCGCGACGCTGCTGATGATCGTGATCGTCGTGGGCAACATGCTGGTGATCATCGCGATCGCCACCGAGAAGGCGCTCAAGAACATACAGAACTGGTTCATCGCTAGCCTCGCTGTTGCCGATTTCTTCCTTGGCCTGGTGATCATGCCCTTCTCGCTGGCCAACGAGATCATGGGCTATTGGATCTTCGGGTACTGGTGGTGCGACATTTACTCCGCCATGGACGTGTTACTGTGCACCGCGAGCATCATGAACCTCTGCCTCATCAGCCTCGACAGGTTCTGGAGCATCACGCAAGCGGTCAAGTACTTGAAGAAGAGGACCCCTGCCAGGGCAGCGTTGATGATCGCTCTGGTTTGGCTCCTGTCCGCGCTCGTATGCATACCGCCGCTGCTCGGATGGAAGAGACCCACGCCAGAGGAAGAGTATCCGAAGTGCAAGGTGAGTCGTCCGCCTTTGTCGATTAGGGGTTAAGGTTCACGCTAGAGCCGCTGGTTCGCGCGGATCGATTCCTCGGTTTTTCGAATTCATCGAGACGTCATTCTGTGACGTGTTGTTAGGACGTTGATTTTGTTGCGACGTGGATTAATCACGACGTGACTTTGAGTCATTTGAACTTTTCACTTAAATTCTTTGATTATCTCGTCTTGCATTCCCAAAAGTGTTTTTAGGCATTTAAAATTTGAGCCCTATAAACAAAGACAATTTAATCTCTTTTATTCTCATTAGTGACAGAGTCACGTCGTGGCACGGTTCGTTAAAAACACGTGGTTAGAGTCAAGCCAGTCGGAATTCCAATGGCTGCAGTTTTAGAGGTTCAATAGAAGATTTCGTCGTTCCGACTGCTCCGTGGTTCTAGCGTCGAGCGACGATCCGGTGATCGCACTCTCGAACGCTGGGAAGATTGAACTTTCATCGGATGAGGGCGTGTGTACGCTGGGGGTGGATGCGTAATGGCTTTACCGAGGACGGCGACACGCGAAGACACGTGTACCCGGCGACGTGCTCGGACGGTTAATGTTTAAAACACAATTTACCCGGCCTCCATGGAACCGCCGGCCCGGCCCAATCCCGGAGTTAATTATTTCCGTGGAGCTGGTTGCGTCATCGGATCCGGTGTTGCCGGTGACAGGTCGCTTCGCGGTTTTGTTTCACGGAGATGAAACACCGGCTCATGGGGAAGAAAGGGTTGGAGCCGGGTCGTGGGATTATGGGAGTGTCCGCGAGTGCTTTGACACTTGTTGGATCATAGGATTTCGCTAGTTTCATGGGGTACAGGATATAAATATGTGATTAAAAATTCTTTGTGCGCTGAGACCTCTTTGGCGATTGTATATTTAAAGCAACGTATGTACGTTAATACTTGAATGATATTAGAGGCTACCTCATGCAAATTTTCATTTAATATTCTTGTGTACAAGCGTACCGCTAACTTTTTTAGTATTTATGTTGTGTGCTAGTGGCGCTAGCTATTTCTCTCGAATGGGTGGCTATAAAGTTCGCTGCAGATTTTCTGGGTTAATATAAGCATCGTTAAAATCTGCTTTGTAATGCATAGTCATCGCTGGATGAAGTCTCCGAGGGTTCTTAATAATAGAGTGATGGTTTTTCGTGATGAGTATTCTGTAAACTGTTAGTAATCGTGTTTTTTAGTTGTTTCTAAATTTTGTCAGTATATATTGAAATGAAACGAAAATCTGCGTGTTTGAGCTACGAATAGAGTGCTGTATTATTGGTTGTTTAAGGATTGATGGAAGGATCGAAAAAGTGAATGACAGATCCATGGGTTTTTATCTCGAGAAAGGATCAATTGAGTCCCGAGTTACACGGAAAGAGTGAATCTACTGATTGATCGTTCGAGTGGATGGATTGTCAGGGTCGGACATAGTCGAGTTCGAATCTAAATTCATCGAATCGAGTCGGGTTTCTTCTCCGGTCACGAAAGGTTAGGGGATACGGTTGCCGTGGCACTTGGACCTTAGATCCATTTTGAGTAATTTCTTCGCTGAGTGCACGTATTATCTGGGACGATCTGAGAGTTTGAAGCATTCGATTAACCGGCTGACGTTGATTCCATTTTCTAATCGATAAAGGCCACTCGTTTTCTGTACCGCCGACGTTACACTCGATTCCTTGCCTTCCTAATGCTGCAGGATTATATAGGATGATCCTGGCACTTCGGCGAAACTACAGTTTCGTTGCAGGGAACATTGGAAATGATCGAACAATAGAATTTTCTAATATATTCACCATCTCGTATTGAATCAATCCAATAGTCCCAAATCACGAATATTCTAGATACGACTAGATTAGATATTACTAGAAACTACCATTCTGCAAAACAGTGCAAAAATAACAAACAATATTCTACATACTTCCAGAAGAACTAAACCTAATTGCTATCAATAACTCTCAGCTAATCAATTCCAACAAATCACTGACACTGCAAAACAGTGCAAAAGTGACAAACAATACTCCACATTCTACCAGAAGAACTAAACCTAATTGCTATCAACAACTCCCAACTAATCAATCCCATCAGATCACCTCCTCACCCCACAGATCACAAAATCAGATGCTCACCTGAAATAAGATAAAATCACCCTGGTTACTTCCCAGCCACCCGGTACAAGCAATTTCAAGTCACAGTATTTCCACAGTATATCCTGTGGCGGACACGCGAGAAGGGTAGGGAACAGGATGCGGCGGCGGGAGGGGCGGCGGGGAGCGCCGGACGGTTGCCTTTTATGCAGCGTTGAAACCCACCCTTATCCCCAACCCCTCGGAACCAGCTTACGTTGCCCACTACAAAACGCCGTCCAAGATTGGATTTCTATGCCCGACAGTTCGATGCACGTAGCTGACTCGCGCAACTTCACGGCGTTTCCGTTTTCCTTCCACTCACGGCTCCGCTCCGTTTCTCCCCCTTTTCTTTCGTTTCTCTTCTTCCCCGGTTCTTCCCCGTCCGTCCCTCTATTTTTTTCTCCGCGCGGAACACCACCGGTGCGCGCCGGTGTCCGGCGTCTCCGACTCGCCCCGTCGATTCCAGCCGTGAAACGGCGCGACAGCGTTTCCGCCCCGATTGGGAGCGACTCCTTCGAAAAAATGGAACTCGCCCCGCGGGACGGGGAAGTTTATCGTTTCCCGTCGGTCTCGTTTGTTGCCGGGTAATTGAAGGATGCACTGTCGTTCTTCCGATTCTTCGGGATTATTCGATCGTTCTTGAATACACGAGGAATCGAGCCGCTCATTGTTCCGCGATATCTTTGACGCTGGACGAAGGAAATTAACCCTTTATGGTCCAGAGGCGAGTTACCGTTCGGCTCGACGTAGGGAAATCGTGATGTTCGATATTCGATGGAGTTCGTGTAATTGTGAATGGAATGTTTAGAACAATTCTATCCTTTCGTGTGTTATGTATGACTCTGACATCTTAATTTTATCGTGTGCAGAGCGAGAGGTTTTTCCAACAAAATTCCACAGTCAACTGTTTAAACAGCCAAATCCAAGGTATCCGAGCCCAAGGCTAATCAGAAACCTAAATCGCTCGCGTTCTCCGCGCGAACGAAACCAGCGCAGTAGGTCCGCGGTATCTCCGGCCGGTTAATTCACACTCGAAGAATTATCCTCGATCGGTGACGTGTGACAAGTTGATGGAAACTTGTTGCGGCGTTCGTCCAAAGGGATCGTCGTCCCGGCCGGCTTTATCGGGTCCGGGGCCAGGTTTTACTGTCGTGACTGTAATCGACCGGTTATTACGTACACGCGACTACGTTTCGCGGCGCGTGACGGCCGCTGGGAGCGCGCGCGAATTTCCTGTCGCGTCAATCTCGCCGGACTACCGCGCGGAGGACGAAGCGGTGTCGCGCCGCCGCGGGACAAGCTTATCGGGTTCAACCCTTTGTGCTCGGTAATATTCGATGTTATACGTCACGTGATCAAAGTTTCGAATGTGAACCCTGCGTTCTGCGATGCTCACCTCCGACGCGAATTTAACACTTTGATCACCGATGATCGGAGCTTTCGAGTTACGAGAAAATAATTGTCACTTGGAAGATAATTGATTTCGAGGAGAAATTTTCTGTAATGTTAATGACTGGATAATAGGGTAATATAAGAATTCTCGTATCAAAGAATTTATCATTCTTGCTTTGTGTCTTTGCTGTAGAATGAATAAGTGATGCATAGAATACTGATGTTTTATGCTAGAATTCAGAGATTTGGCTCGAAACAGTTTTCTTCATTAATCAGAGACTGAAAAGTCAAGATTCTTAATAATTGCTTCACTATCAAACCAAAATTCATCGAGACATTGCCAAATTTCTGAATTCCTTTCCATCACAAGTGGTTAAACGAAACATAGATGATTAACACTTTCCCACGCGACACTATCACAGAAACTGGAACATTCATTTTCTCGACGTATGGAACAAACTAAATTTTCCTGGATACATAAGATATAAGAAAGACAATGAAGCAATTATTAAGAATCTTTCTTCTGAATCTGAATTCTATCCAGCGCAAGTTAACACGTCCCAGCCTAGTCTATAACAAGTCAAGCTTCGAGAAACATTCCTACAGTATCCCTAAATGGACTCAATATCATCACAGAATCACTCTCCCCCGAATCGCCGAAGAATCCTCCTGATCCCAATCGCGCGGCAGTTGGAAACAGAAAGAAGTTTCCCATTGTTGTGATTCACGTCGGGACGAACACGGTTCAATGGATCCCTCGTAACACTAATTCCTCCGCTCATAATAGTCTCTCTTTCGGGCCGAGATTCCATCAGTAATAACGTCGCTAAACGAACCGTTACTCCCAGGCATCGTACACAATTACGCCGCCATTTGCATCGCACGAAATTCGCGTCTGGCCGGGCCGAGATCCGCGGCGGGTCCCCGCAGCCGGAGGAAAGCAGCGCCGGAAATGAATCTTCCTTAACATTCGTCCCTACTTTTCTCAACCGTAATTCACCGTCTAGCTGCGACGGCCGCCGCTATTACGGCCCTGACAATCTCGTAGCCGCAGCGGACTGCGACTTCCTTTTTCTCTCTCCTTTCTCCGCCTTATCCTCCGTTCTTTACCTTTCCTCTCTTTCCCGGGATTTTTCCGAGCGGTGACGAATGGAGAGCGACAAATACTCGAGGATAGAAACGCGGAGGACAGGCTGCTCGGCTGCTACGGGAGCTGCCGCTTCAATCTTTTAACGCGATTAGCCTACCGCTGTTCGAGAGAACAGAGGAAAAAGGGAAGACCCCGCAGCATCGCTGGCTGGCGAATTCCACCCTCGCGACCCCGTGAGCCCCGTAATCTCGTTCCGCCGTTTGCCGTTTCGTCGGTGACTTTTAAAAGAGCCACCGTTTAACCCTAATTTCGTTGCTCGATACGAGCGGAAGACTTTCTCTGGGATCGTTCAAGTTTCGTTGTTAACCCTTCGCAC